ATTTATTTTCTGCTGTGTTTTACTTGCATCTATGTGAAAGAGTGTAAACACAAAACATGATTTTATTTTATATGCTGGAATATGCAGAAAATAGCTTTAAATGTTAAACACATTTCTTCTTGCATATAATTTAATTTTTGCTTGATTGCAATGTGAATAAACTTAAAAGATTAAAACTAATAAAACAAGTTTTAAAAAGAGATTTTTCCATTTGACTACATTTTATATGATGGATTATGCAGAAAAAACAGAACTGGGCTAGAGGGCTATAACTTTATTACGTATTCAGGTTGTGTATCATGTTTTTTAAAAAGTAACTAATTACCTTTGAAAATAAGTAATCAGTAAAGTAAGGGGATTACTTTCTTGGAGAGCTAATCAGTTATTAGTAACTAATTACAATTTTCAAGTAACTTGAGCAGCACTGGTCTATGTGGCCTGAGACAGGCTTATTGTGTTGCCTAAGTATCCCAGAAATGTCGTTTACAGCTGGCTCTCTGCTAAGCTGCCTGTTTTATGTGGCAACATCAGTTCATCCTTTGAGTTTGGAGCTTTACATGACACGAGTCAGTTTATTAAAGTCAAACACGATGAAGCACAAGGAGCAAAGCACACTTCTTCAGCATTATTCACAAAAACCCATCAACTATCTTCGATAACAGTCCACCTTAACAACACTCATCCTCACACCATCTCTTCCGTCCACCTTTAGGCTCCCTGTCAATGCTGTTGACCTGTGTGTGCTAACAGCTAGCTGGAGCTGCTGCTAGCCGTCCTGCTAACTTTTCAGACTGTGTTGGGGTCACATTCAAACGTGGGTGACCTCACAGAGGCAGAGACACGCGGGGAGCGGAGCTCCCACCAACCGAACACCGTTTAAAGCACGAGCGCAGCGGCGATACAGGCTCAGAAACTAAAAGCGGCTAACACACCTACCAGTAACGTGAGTTCTGGCTTCCGGTTGTCCTGTCACCACGTGTCGGTCCCCCGGTCCTAAAGCCTGTCCGTACCGCTCTCGTTTTCTGCTGTACGGAAGCCCTTTAGGTCAATTTTGGACAACGAGAATAGTAAAAAAGCACAGTAAAAGCACAGTTGTTTTATGCTTTGTTACTATTCCACCAGTGTGTGAATGTGAGAGTGAATGAATAGTGGCATTGTAAAGCGCTTTGGGTGCCTTGAAAAGCGCTATATCAATCCAATCATTATTATTATTATTAGTATTATTTGATTATTTTTATTTGTCACAGTTTTAACTTTCAAATCCAATGAAAATCAGTCAATTCTTTTCTTTTTAATTAAAATGAGAAAAATACATGTTTCAGATTTTCTCATTTTATTCATTCATTTTGGTATCACGTAAAGTTTTGACCTACAAAATGTACTGGCTTCAGAGACTACAAATATTAAGCTAATAGTCCCGAGTTTTACATAATAATTGATTTAAAAACATATTTATAAAATGTATTTATCTACAAAATTTGATTTACAAAATGTTTCCCCTTTGGACCTCCTCATTTTGATTTTTGTGCCTTAATCTCAGATTTGTGAGCCTCAAACCTTTCAAACTTTTGAATAACTGAATGTTAAGTTTTAGTTTCATCTCTGAAACATGAACTTACAAAGCCACAGCTTTTACCTCCCACTTTGTTGTTTTGTGCTGTGATGGGACGCTCGGTTCTTCCTCTAATCCCTGCTGTGTTTTTTGGACTTTATTTGATAAAGGGTTGTTCTCTGTTGCTTCAGCTCTTTTTCTACAGTCTGCATCTTCCTGTGTTTCATGACACAAACAGTGACTTTCTAAGATTTTTACTTTTATCTCATAGTTAGATTTGTAAAAATAAGTTTGAGCTTTTATTGGAAAGCTGTGGATAATTTCTTAATCATCTTGACTTCCAACCAAATTTGATAATTTAAAATCATCTGGGGTTTTTGGCTCAATCAGACTAATGGCCTTTAAAGCTGAGTGCCACAGACAGAGGGAGGAATATTAACAGATGGACTAACATACTGCTGGTTTGGGTCTCATCAGAGAAATAATGAGTGTTTCCAGCCATATTCTTCAGAAATCAATCTCAGAGGCTCGAGGACACCCCAGACTGCTAGATTAGATAGACTCTTAATTTGACACAACAGCCTTTGCATTTACATTTTAGTCATGTTGCCATTTCTGCAGACGTTCAGGCTGTTAATGGACACTTTCAGGACAGCCTGCTGTGGGAAATGAATGCGAGAGCTCACACTTACAGAGCAGAACAGTGTCTCCCTGAGGAAATGATCACTGATGACTCACATCAGCTGCAAAGAAAACCACTCAGAGGGATGCTGTTCATCTTGTCTGTTAGTCACCCAAGTGTCACTCAGTGCTCAGCATCAGTTCTTTTTGTTTTTTTAATACATATATGTCAATGACAGATGTAGGTACACTTGATTAAAAGCTCTGAATCGTGAGGCAAAACACACAAAGGCTCAAAAAGTCAGAGTACAGCCTGGTGTGTCCCTCACATCCACGTTAATCCATAAGCACGCACACTCTGACCTCTGCGAGTCGCGTAGTCGTATCCAAAAGTTACCTCGAGTCTTCATGAAACAATATTTCATTGACACAAGCAATAAGGAAGAAAGAGTATATACCCTTCATGATTCTGCATATTTGTCACACCTACATGTTTCAGATCATCAAACAAGTTTTAGATTACACAAAGACAATCAGAGTAAACACACAATCCGGTTTTTAGATGACGAGTTCGTTTATTAAGGCATCAAACTATCCAAACCTGCCGGCCCTCTTTGTTAAATCATGAATTAACTGTGACTGAGTCTAGTTTCACTGCCACAGCAAAGCTGATCACTGTGACACCTGCTGACTCACAAACTTCTTAAACAGAAGCTGTCTGACAAAGTGAAACAGGCTGAAAGATCTCAACCAGCAGCACATCACGATCACGCCACGATATAAAGAACCAGCTGAGGAACAACATCGGTGACATCATCAGTCTGAAAAGTCACAGAGGCATTTCTAAGGCTTGTGAGAGTCGTTATCCACACCTTCACAAGAGTGACCAGCCAACCAAACTTACTCCACGAGCGCATCATAAAATACATCAGTTCTGTCCTGTGACTTAGTCAATGACAGCTCTTTAAAACGAGGCTCTACGGTGAGGTCTTCTCACGTCGTTAAATCCTCTGTAAGTCTCGTCCTCACCTCCTTTCCTGGTTCGGGTGAGGATAAGAGGACAGGAGGTCGGCATGTGAAATTTGAGATTGCTTTTGAAGCGCTGATGAGATTTGCGGTCGCCACCTTCTTAGACTTTTGGAGGCAGAAGTGTTCGTACTGGACAAGATGGTGAAGTTTGAAGCTATCCCCACACTATAAATGGTCCAAACCTGTCTGTCTCTGCTGCTGGGCTCACTGCTGGAGCTTCAACTGGACAGTAGAAGACAGATTAGAGGAACGGAAGTGTTGGGCAGTTAATATTGGCGTAACTTTGGTCACCGCTAACAGGTTTGTGGCTAAAGTAAAATTTTCTGCCATAGAAGAGAGCGGTTTAAAGCAGCGGTCCCCAACCTCCGGGCCTCCGACCGGTACCGGGCCGCGAGAGTTGAGGCTCAGGTGAGAAATGTTTGGTTTTCAGGGTTTTTATCGGTTTTCAGCGTTATTTTGTTATCGTTTTTATCGTTAACTTGGTTTTCCTGGGTCTTTTCACGTGTGTTATGAATGAAGTAAGGAAGGAAAATACAAAGCTGCTGCCCGCTCAGGTCGCACAGAGGCTTGTGTTTTATTAAATTTAAGAGTTTATTATTCAGCAGAATAACTCACGTGTCTCTGGAGGAGAGCTGATTATACTTCAGAAAAGCAGAAAGAGTTTTAAAAGACTCGAGTTTTAAAAGACTTGGCTTCGTCAAACAGGCTGCTGATGGACAACTGAGCGGTCTCAACTGAGCGGTCTCAGCTGAGCGCGCAGCAGTCGGGATCAAATGCAGCACGAGTACAATCACCTCCTGCCTGAGAAAAGAAGAGCAGCCGAGGAATTAGACATGAAGGAAGCAGGCCCGCTTCAAATGAGGAAGTACTCGTACCAATCAGAGTTTTAAAGCAGCCATAGCTCTTTTATGATGAGGGCCTGAATTCTCCTTCAGGGCTTAATTAAAAGTGGAATGTAGAAGCCATTATCACACCGAGTGGCTGGTCCTTAAACCACCATTTCCACGTCTCCACAGTGTTTTAAAGAGGAACCACAGATGAGAGGTTATAATATTACAGATGAGGAGCATGAGTTTGGTTAAAGGCTCGATGCAATAATTGAATAATAATCATTTATTTTGTGTTGCTTT